AGACGAACATTCAGACTTAATGTTCATGACGATTGAGTGGATGTGAACGATGTAAAATTTAAATAAGTATATATGTTCAAACTATACGCACCCGAAACGTAATATGAGCGGGAAAAATACGGAAATCGAATAAACACGATAATATACGACTTACGCGGGCTCACCAATTTGTAGGATAGAGCGAACTGACGACAACTGGTTGAAAATAATACAGCGAGTAGACAGAGAATATATTGTTGACTTGCGAAGTCAACGCAAGAATGAACGGATTCAGGTACGAAGCGATAACGGTGCGGAACGACAAGCGTGTACGCAGCGGTGTAATACGTTTGAGTGCGCAGGGGACTTTTCGTTATCTCTTCTCGTTCAAACAGATGTTTAAATACATACAAAAGTAGGAAACAAATATAATACAAATGGCCCGCGTAGCTCTAACATAATTGACAATAACGAATCGGATCGGTACACCGTTAGGAGAGAGCTAAGTTGTACTGTTTATACTGAGATCAATGTTATCGGATCGCCGTTACACAAACCAGAGGGTCCCCGCCATTTTAGACGGCGCATATTCCAATCTCTGGATCCACCACAGTGGAACTCACCATATGCGCTGCAAGATGGCTAATGGTGGAGGAATTTGAAATAGGAGAGAAGGAGATTGAGGATTGATTGGATAAACTAGACATGAATGAGACCATGAGGTCCCACTGTCTACATTCAAGGATACTCATACCTCTCAATGATGTTTTACACGAGCCGCTCACTATGTTGTTTAGTATTACCCTACAGAAGGCCATCAACCCAGCTGACTGGAGGAAACAGGGGTTGTATCCACCTATAAGAGGTTCAAGGAACAGAAAGTGGACAACTACCGATCAGTAGTTCTCACATCAGTTGTCTTAAAACTGCTGGAAAAAATTATTAGGAATAGAATTGTCAGATACCTTAATGAAAATAGGCTTCTACCTGCAAATCGACATGGATTTTCGAGGCATAGGCCTTGTCTCACCAACCCGACTTGCTTCCTCGATGAGATCATTGAGACGGCGAACAAGGGAGAGTAATTTGAAGTCTGATACTTGGAATTCAAGAAGGTTTCCGATTCAGTGAACCACTGATGGTTACTCCTCAAACTAATGGTCTTTGGTCTTCCTTCAAGAGTATTAGGTTGGATGCAGGACCTGTGGAAAAGTTGCACCCTCCGTGCAGATACAGGGTAAAGGTTCACGAAAGGTGCAACGGTTAGTAGAGTGCATCAGGGCTCAGTGCTTTGAACATTATTGTTTTCAACGTTCATCACTGATCTCACCAAAACTCTGAAGTTTTCTTGCCACATCTTCGCTGACGATGCGAAGACTGTGGGAAACTCTGACAACACGAGTATGCAGGAGGACTTGAATACTGATCAGGAGTGGGCAGATGAACGGTGCCCACCCCTGAATGTAGAAAAGTGTAATCGGATGCCTGCTTGGGAACAACTAGAGTCAGTCAGGCGTTTTGCCAAGCAGGGAAAAGAGAAGGAGCTGAGGAGGGTACCCTCCTCAGCTCCTTGGTTGTTTACACGTATAAACAACCGAGGACATGGGAATGCTCACACAAGGGAACTTCAGTTCCAAAACGGTGCTTGGAGTCGGCGTGAAAAAGAAATAGAGCACTGCATATGTTGAAGAAAACGTTCGTGTGGAAGAGATTGCAGGAGGTTTTGCCGCTTTCTGAAGCTTGTGTGAGGTTATATCTGGAATACTATGTGCAAGCCTGGAACTCCCATTAGGTACAAAACGTAGAGGTACTTGAGAGTTCACAGTAGTTTAACAGGGCTGCTGGAAGAAATGCGATATAGCTCGTGCGAATGTTGGAACTGGTCCAACATAATAATACCCCGTCAGTGCTCACTATCAAAAACCAGTCGACAATGAAAAACAAACACACGGCGCGTTGACCCTCTTGTATTAGTACTGACTCTGGAAAATGGAGTGTACAGAGAAGGCATGTCAAGCTGGCGAGGCACGAAGCAAGTTGTGATTGTAGCCCCGGGACGGACACTACAAAATAGATGGTCTGACTAAAACAAAAGTAGGTAAAATCCAAAGCCATCAAAAGTGCGCAAGTGAATGCTACTATCAAAAATGTCACTTATTATAGTCGCTACATGGCTCTGCCTCCAGATGGCTAGTAAGTATTACACAGGCCTTTGTTATTCCAAAGAAAGAGGGAAAAATACACAACATATTTCTGGTTGATCACAGTGTAGGACCGAGCGAATCGACGATAACCGGTTGAAAATAATACAGCGAGTAGACAAAAAGTATATTGTTGACTCGCGAAGTCAACGCGAGGATAAACGGATAAAAATACGAAACGATAACGGGGCGAGGCGACAAGCGTGCACGGAGCGGGATCGTACGTTCGAATGCGCGGGGGACTTGTCGGTATCTCTACTCGTTCAAACAAATGTTTAAGTACATACAAAATTAGAAGACAGAAAGAGCACAAATGACACTCGTAGCTCTAAAACACTTGACAATAACGGATAGGGTCGCTACAACAGTTAAAGAGTGATACACATAAAGATTAATGACATGGGATGGGGAATGTCAGAGTTCAAAAGAGGGTCGATCGAGAGATGGCTGCTGCACTGGAAGGATTCTTTTATTATGTTACCTAGTCTCCGATGCGTTTCTTCTCTATCGCAGCGAGCTGCCCAACCCTAAAACTCTTGAAAGAAAACAGGGGTAGGTGTGTTCAGTGTTGTACGATAGGTATCTGGAGTTGTCCCTCAACGCATCACGTTCGGATAGTCCGGAAAAGAGGAAACACAGTAAGGTAAGCGCACAACAGGTGGAAAGGGATAACTCACCCTGTCAACGTATCCGGCCGACTAAATAATTTCAGAGCCGACAACTCTACCTTACCCTGCAATTTTGAGTGACTGCCTTCAATTTGCCCTTCCTCTTGTGCTCTTGTCTAAAGTTGATAGACTCAAGAAATAAAAGGGTTATCATACGAATAAACCCGGTCCAGAACAACGCCGTTTGGGTTGCGGACCCGGTAACCCATCAAATAATTACGAAGGCGTGATGGTCAAAACAAACCATTTTTTGTACGAATGTCCGTGTGTTAATAAAAAACGTCAGTTCCAAAAATAAGCAATCTTAACATACTCTGCGAAACCTACAGACTTGCGGAGCTCCCTATCAAGACTATTACACCTAGAGGTAGAGGGAGCAGGGGTTGCGGGAGCTGCAGGGATTCCGTGAACGGAACGCTTGTTGTTGGCACTACAGTGCGAGGTGTGCCCTGGGAAGTGTCGCAGAGGATTTTTCCTCCTGACGATGTCATAGGTATGGGTTGGATTGTGAGGGAACTATTTTGACAGAGATGTTCGATCTCCGTTTAAGTGGCCTGCACGGCGGCCTTGGCTGCCAAATCGATGCCGTCGTCAGCAGGTGCGCTGAGATTATGGACGCATCAAAGAGCATCAGCGACAGTGTTCTCGGTATCTGAGATATGTCGTATATTCGTCGTGAACTGAGACAGAGTCCAGGTGCCTAACTTCCCTTGGGGACTGCCTGTCGGATGGAGCGTTTAAATAATGGATTAACGGTTTGTGATAAATGTAAACCGTAGAAGTCCCGCCTTCCACGGAATGCCGGAAGTGGCAGATGCTTAAATGGAATGCTAGCAACTCTGTACCAAATGTGCTGTAGCGGGATTCCGCGAGTTGTAAAGGTTTGGAGAATAAAGCTAAAGGGTGCCATCGCTCATCAATGAGATGCTGTAACACATCGCCAACAGCCGTGTCAGAAGCGTCGGTTGCGATTGAGGGTGATGCGTCTGGATTAGGATGAGCAAGGAAAGGTAAGTCGGCGATCGCATCCTTGAGGTCAATGAACGCGGTGCTTGCAACCGCAGTGAAGTAAAATTTGCGTTCACATCCACTGAGAAGATCAGTCATTGGCCGCATCATATGTGCACAGCGAAGTATGAAACATCGGCAGTAGTTGACCAGACCAGAAAAACGACCAAGTTGCGTAAATAAATTCAGTTCGACGTGTTCATGGATGGTTTTAATCTCACCCGTGAGTGGGACGATTCCATTTTCTGAGATCGTGTGACCCAGAAACTCTATTGTGGCCTTACCTTGTTCGAACTGTGTAGAATTCTCTACCGTGTTGGGTCAAACGTCCCGTTAGGGTGCTAAGGTGTGCAAGGTGTTCCTTTTTGAAAAGCTAGCGACTAAAATATCATCTAAATGGGAGTAGAAAAAGTCCGAACCGCAAGTCACTTCATGAATGAGGCGTTGAAAAGTTTGAGCTGCGTTGCTTAAACCAAACGGCAACCGAAGAAACTCGAAAAGGCCGAAAGGAGTTATTACTGAGGTTTTGGGGATATCGTGTTTGGTTACCGGAATTTGATGATAAGCACGTACTAAATCTACCTTGATAAAGATGGTTCTTCCATGTAATCAAGTGGTTTATTTCTACATGTGCGAGATTGGGTACTTGTCAGGGACTGTTGCTTTGTGTAACCCGTGGTGATAGTCGCATGGGTGCCAATCACCTGACTTTTTGGGTACTGTAGGAACACTCCTACAAAGTCTCGCTCTAGATTCGACCAGTTACCCAATGACAATAATTCAGAACACCACGAACAGCGCAGTACTCTCAATATATTGCCCCGACCGAGAAGCAAAATAGTGTACAGCCAGCTAACGTCCTACGTGCAACGCGCGGAACAGAAAAGTGAAGAATTTCTATAACGGCGGAAATAGGGGGTACAATTGGGCTAAACAAACATGCTTCATACGGATGCGTCAAATTTTACAACAAAATAGCAACAAAAATGAAGCTGTTCTAGGGGGTCGCTACAGTACCATATGCAGCGATGAGGCTCATGGGCTATCGGAAGGACGTATTATCCCGAGTTCCAGCATATACTCGAACTCTGCCCCCGGCCAGTTTTAGTTTTTATTTTAGATGAGACTTATTTGAGAAAAGTCAGGGCTTCGGCTGGATTCGAACCGGCAACACAGACGTCATGCCTCAACACTGCACGCGGTCTACCAGTTGAGCTACGAAGCCATGCCAGGAGCACGGAAGTTTCACATTTGGGCTCGGTTACCCACCCGTCCCAAGGTCATATAAGGAATCCACCGAATGATCCAGGGAATCGACTGCCCCAGCAGGATTTTTCGAACGGTTCACGTTGGAATCCACCGACGCCACTGTTGAGCATAGAAATTGTATTGTTTTGTCAGGAGCCAACTGGCGAGACCGTGATGAGACGAGGGTCCCTCAGTGTGGATGTGATGAATGACACTAGGGCTCACTGTTGGAATACCGTCCAATGTGCGAACGAGCTGCGAGGACTCAGTAAAGATATCCACAGAATGTCTAAGAGCGGCGGGCTGGGTATTTATGGGTGTTATGGCCTAAACGGTTGCGTGCGTTCCGGGTATGCATAACCTAATGCTGGAATCGATTAACAGACGGCATCTCTTATCGACCAGAAGGTCAAACTGCTGGAGAAAATCGGTGTCGACCATAGCGAGGGGTACCGCGGCAACCGTCTACTCCCAGCGGAATGTCTGCCAGAGGCCCAGATTAAGCGTTAAGGACCGCTGTTCATATGTGGTTACAGGCGTACCATTTGCAGCACAGCGCCGTGGGCTTCGCAGGTTTGACGCCTTGTCTTTTTATAGGTGGAAACACGCTTACCTGCGCCGCGGTATCCACCATGAACGTGTCCCCGGCTTCTACACCCTTTACAAAGATGAGGCAACAAGGTACGACACTGACGACGTTAGTCGCCTTCACGGGCCGGCGTCAAAGTTTCCCTGCTTGGTCGGCTTGTAAGTGCACGATTTAACGCACCTGGTGAATCGAGTGTCAAAACGTTGGTGATACCAGCGGTAACCGTCAGGCTGCTGCGTCGTTGTGCGCCTGAGGTATCTGCTAGGTCAACAGCGTGCAGGGCGACTTAAAGGGATTCGGCTAAAATTGCGACCCAATGTTGCGACTTCGGTTCATAATGCTTCTGTTTTTGACTCTGAAGTAGAGGAGCTACCTTCATTATGTGGTGGTATGCTTCTCAACAAACATGATGCCTATATTGGTGTGCTAACCTGGTTAAAAATAGGCTGAAAACGCCCTACTAACTGATCATTCATTTCCGCTGACTTCACTAGCGGTTGTGATCTCGCGTTCAGGAGCACTAGTGACTCAGACGCTGTCGCGAATACTTGCGAAACGTGCTTCCCGTATGTATCCAAGATACGGTCGGAGGTATCGGTTCACTGCAAGAGAGGCGCTTGAGGGTTGTCACTAAAGGTATTTTGCATATCCTCAGGCAGTCTCTGAACCTATGTTCCCTTCAGGAAAAACTCCTCAAGATGAGTTGAGTCTGCGAGGCGTTGCATGTGTCGTAGAAGTTGTGAGGGCTTCTGATCGTCTAGCTCGGTAGTGTTCAGCAGCTGCATGATGCGTTGACGCTCAGAGAGGTCAATGCATTTGATAGTGGCCTCTTTAGGCTGCTCATAGGGCTTAACAGAGTCCGGCGGCTCCAAGATTTCGTCCACCTCGTCTATGGTGTGAGGCGGTAGAGCAGCTGCCACGTGATAGAACTTCGTTAGTTTTGTGGTTACGTTTACCAATGGGAAATCGGCCTCCAGCCAAGCAAACCAGCTCCGAGGATTATTTCCACTAGAATGCGCAACCGATACGGAAAACGTCTGGCGAACTAAAAATCTGTTCCTGAGCAATTCCGACAGTACTAGGGATCAAAATTCAATAAATAAGCGAAAAAGTGGCAAAAGTTTACATCAAAAAACACATATATACCTGTGGAAAATTACAAAATATGCAGCCTCACCAGTTTTAGTGTATGTGCACTAAATGAACGCTTTCCCAGATACACGCAACGATACCAGACGAGAAATGTGAATACGAATAATTGTAGGAAGACCGAAATTATATCATACGACAATCACAATAAGTATCAACCAGCGCTAAGCGACACCGATACGCAGAAGCAGCTAGGGGGCTAATAATCTGGCAGTCGAGTGCGTGAGCAAGACTTTGGCGCACATAGGCCAACAAGCACGCAAACAAACAGACGTGATAGCATGCGGGGAGCAGACAGCAGACAGGGATCCTTACGATTCTTTGTACAACGTGAACTATGATTTTGGGCAGGATTTTACACATTGTACAGCAGGCAGACTGGGGCTATCTCCAGGTGACTACATTCTAGGTCAGTAATTAATGACACTCATTCAAGACAGAGGTGTGAACGTAAGACTCGTTGTCCAGAAACTACGTCTGGTCAATGAAACAAACAAATGTTTCACGAAGAACCCTGAAACTGAATAGCGCACCTGAACTATTTTGATTTGACACCATTTTTGAGTTGAAAACTGAATTGTACCAAGTATATCAATTTGGTCGGCTCCTTACAACTATCTGAGAATCAGAAGGCGCTGTCGTAAACTAATTCCGCGTGACACCACATCAAATCGAAGTGGGAAATTGAAAGTTCCGAGTCGTTACGGAGGCGGCGTTTTCAGGATCGTAATTGGTCTTCGACCATGATGTCATTGAACAGGCGAAATGCTCTAGCTTTTCACTACTTCGAACTGACCATCACTAAACGTCCATGATGCTATAGCTTGATAGGAGGTCTCCTTGTTTTCAGTGAATGCCATCATCTTATCTTCATTATCTTGAAATTACCGATTTGGTAGCATCTCAATATGCTCTTCGTTTGCGCGGTACGGGCCGAAACTTTTTACCCCAACTTAGGGTTTCACAAATTCCGAAATCACTCAACTCACGATCAAGCTTTAGCAATACTCAGTTTGTATCGGTTGCCCATTATAAATTGGATTGCAAGACGTCGCAGACGGGAACTCTAAATATACTGGCTCTTAAATGTTTTCGAACCACGCGTAATATTTGCGATCTGAGGCAGCCGTATCGAAACATACAACTTTGAATAAAGATTTGCTAACCATGTTCATTATATATCATAACTGTGGGTATATTCGAGTTTTTGCATACCCTGTGTATCCCAACAGATAAAAGGCTACATGCTTGTGTACACATGTGCTCGCCAAATCTACAGTTTGAATCAGTTGTTTCTAACACTTGAAAAAATCCAACTAATTGTAGCAAGTCAAATTTGATCTGTCTCTCAGTTGTATGTCCGGCACAGTCCACACGCACTGAATATGGTTCCCAGTTTCGCTGAGGTGTTCTGTGATAAGCTTGGGGATGTTATTTGTTATGGAGTGCCTGTGCGATTATTGACAGAAACAGCCAAACTTTACAAGTTTGTCCAAAAGACCAGATCCACAACGGTACAGCCCCAGAAGAACATTGTGTGTTTTTCAGTGAAGCTCTATTCAAATTTAAACCTATTTATCCCATTAATGAATTGGAATAAGACGATGAAAAGACAAAAATCTTGTGAAGTCCTTTTAAGTAATATTTCATACATTTTCGATAACACGATTTTTCACACAGAGCAGGTGCCATGCAAGAGAGACAATCTACTAGAAAGATGGAGCACACTGACAGATACCCTGTACATAATCGGATACCCCGTGCGGTTTATTAGAAAGAACAGCAGTAGCACTACCACATTATCAAATAGGATAGTTTGGTTGAAATATGGAACTTTAGGTGACAGCCAGTCAACAGTGGTAAAAAGGGCGTTCATAAGCCGTTGTATTGAGAACCTGAAACGCAGTAAAACTATAGTTTCACTGCGTAGTTTTACTGTGTAAGACCCTGAGTTGCTGCATTGCACATATACGTACAACGCAGCAACTCAGGGTCTAATGCACCTTCTTGGCTAAGAAAGAACAGTCGACACCTTTCCTATTCCGATGTCTATACGGATATTTCTGCAACAACACCGTAAGCTACATAAGAAGGGTAAACCAGTAGCATGCTAATCGCAGCAACAATTCTGTTGGCATTTGGTTAGAAGCCCAATTAGAAACGCTTGGCACCTGTAGAAATGGCAAACAGACGGCATCCAACACCACTAACAGAGCTTGTAAACCAAATAAGACTTGAAGTCAGAGGTTGCACCATTTATTGGTGCAACCTGAAATGCATCCTCCAGTTTGCTGAGGCGTTGGTTATTAGGTGTCACAATCCCCGTGTGTGTTAAAAACAATTCGTGTTGACCTTGTTGCAGGTGTGGTAGTCTTCTCTCTGCATTGTTCACTTCCGTGTCTGTCTGACTGATCTCTTAAGCCATTGTAATGACCTGGAGATAACCCCGGTCTGCCTGCTGTACGATATGTAAAATCCTTACCAGAATCCTAACTGACATTGTACATGGGATCTTAAAGATTTTTGCCTGCCGTCTGCTTGATGCATGCGATTGCGTTTGCTTGTTTGCTTGTTTGTTGGCTTATGCGCCCCCATCGTGTCATATTCACTCTTCCGGCTTGCTCGCGCGCTCGACGGTCAGATACTCAAACTCTCTATCTACCTTTGTGTATTGGCGTCGTTTAGCGCTGATCGAGACCAATTGTAATTATCGTATCACATATTTTTGGTCCATAGCAATTATGGGCATTTTTATTTCGCGTCTGGTGTTGCTGCGTTTACCTGAGAAAGTGTTAATTTAGCGCACGTACGCCCTAAACCATGACTTCCGTCTTGCAGGTTCCTTTCTGGATACTGATATTAGCTACATGTCCAAGTGTGAGTGTACGAACTGTTACTCCAGAGAACATCACCTGATTTTCGTCTAAATAATGCTTTATTGAAGCCGCCTTCTTTCTATCTTGATGGCGTTGACAACAATACCAAGGTTTCTTGAGCCAAACAAAACAGACTTCACATTTTTGTTTACGTACTTGAAAAAACAAAATGCGCTTTTAGAAACCGTTTGTTCTCAGCATAAAAGCATTTAATTGTTGTAGCAAGTCTACTTTGCCGTTTTGTACACTTATGCAGGCGCCTCCATTCGGAGTACTGAAATGAAACATAGCTTCCAGTTTTCTTAAGACATCCTATGTATTGTTTGTGCATTGTGTTTAAAACAGCGCGTAATTGCGAGTATG